TCAAGCTCTATCCGATGATGTGAAAACAGCGCGAAAAAAAATTTTTTACTGAAAATTCGCATTGCCTGCACCTTACAACACGAAGGAATACCATTCTCATATGGAATAGAGTAAAATTCTGAGTTTCTTGATTTCGGGTCGTCTATCATCTTGTCTGCTTGACTTAAGTACCAAACTCGCTAATTGTAGAGGATGATGTTAGCAGAGAAGATCAATACCTAGTGCTGCTTCGGATGAAAAAGCATGTTTTGAGGATATCACGTTGTAAATTCATTTAAATGCATGAATAGCGCAGTACAGATTTATAAACCTCTGAATTTAAATTAAAATATTATTCTTCTCAGAATTTGCTATTTGTCTTATTGATTACTTTAATCAACTTTGATTCACTTAAGAAAATACGAGATTTGTTAAGCAATAGCTATAATCATTATTTTATGCAATAAAAAATGTAACTTACAAAATAATATATCTGCATTCATATGAAGAAAAACAAAATTTGTTTGTTGTTTCTAGATATAAAATAATGTCAATGATCAGTATAATGATTTGTACTTTCTTTTCTATTTCAACAATATCAGCAATACCTGCAACAGGTGTTGTTTTGTCAGCTGTTATTCGGAACACACAGAATACACCCGTTCAGTGCACTATTAATTGGACGACATACAACGGTCCAACATCGAACCAGGATATCATTATGGTTGAAAGCAATAAATATAAACTTGTATTTGAAAAAAGCATTTATATAGGTACGTCGATAGCAGATGTATTTATTCAAGAAATTCATTGTGGTGACTTAGTGCTTACTACTCCATTCGCAAGAGTTCTTGCAATAGAAAGACTTTGGGAATTTCGTGTTGAATCAGATAGAATAGTTTCAGTTGGACGAAGTTCATATGTACCTTAAAACATATCAAAGATAAACTTATTCATTTTTTCTTCAAAGCATTTTTTTTCTTTTCTTTTGAAATAATCAATATATTGTTTTTCAATTTTTCGTTCTTCTAATTAAACATCTACTATTTTATCTGTAGTCGCAATACTGTTGCTATCTGATTATGTGTCAAGTTGAGTCGTTAAAAAGATTCTATCTCAGGATTGACGAAATTGAAAAACTCCAATGAAACTGCTTGGATGAGGATGTATGGCAAACTAAGACCTGCAAAGCCAGTTTTCTTGCATCGATTCGAAGCTATTTGGAAATGGTTATATTTAATGGAAGAAATAATTATCAGCGAATTGAGACATCCTGCATCTCTCCATGGCATTCATTCATTGAGCTGCCCCAAAGCGTCAAATACAGTGAAATTATTGAAGTTTTTCAAAAACCAAAAGGAAAATGCTTCTTGGGTCTCCTGTAAATTGAATGTAGTTCGATGAAAGAACATCATGAAGAGAATTGAGACGTCTTTTTTTGCTGAGAATTATTTGCTCTATCAAATAAAATTATTTCCACAAAACTTTAAAAGTATGCCAGAAAATTAGTTTTGAAGGTCTTGATATTGCCGACGTCTTCATCAAAGCAGTTTTATGGAAGTTTTTAGCCTTTCTAGCTATTACCGTCGAGAAGAAAACTCAAAAATATAACTGCGTTAAACTTTTGTTCTTCACTATACATGCGTATAAATACAGCTTTATTTATTTTTCTCACCATACAGTGAGACAATATGATTGAATATGTGCCCATAATAATATACTGGTTAATCTATAAGCACTTTTAGAGTCGCCTAATCATCTTACTGATTACTCTATTATACATTGTTTCACATGAAAAAATTACAATATTTGTTAAGTAGTATCCATAGTCGTTGTTTATGCATTGAAATGCAACAAGCGAGAATATCTATCATCAATCATTAGAAAGCAAGGAATCGTCTGCCTTTCATCTAAACATAAGATTATGTCCATGATGTTTTTATTTAATTAATTTCGACTTTATATGCACTGACTAATATTTATCTCAATGTCAGTAGTAAAACATATTCCAAACCGTTTCATTATCACAAACAAATGGTAATTTTTTTATCGAACTAAACATGAATTGTTTCAGTTGGATTAAGTTTGTGACACGATTTAAGTTAATTTATTTTTCTCTCAAACCATAATAACTAATTTTTTTTCATTGATTTATTATACTTATTTTTATCTATTTGTCAGTTTTCCAAATAGTATTAATAGTTTTATTTGTATATTAAAAAGTCAATTTTTTGTATTGTTATCATGTTTCAAATTCATACTGATAATTAAACTACATGAATAACGCAGTTTGAATTATCAATTAGTTCTAAATCTAAAACAAAGTTACGAATATAAGTGACAGGTTTAGCGTGTATAATGTGAACTCTTTCATTCTAATCAGGACGGTCGAAATAGTTCCACAAAATTTTCTAAGTTGTTATTCTGATTTATGCTCTCTTATATTGTAACATTTGTAAGTGGTTTACAGGGAACATATTGATTAAAATAATGCTTATTGAATCTAAAATCTCGAATACTCGTGTTTGCATTAATTTTGTCAACGAATATCTTTCTATTATTATCTGTCTTGAATTTTGCTTTGATTAATGTGATTTATAACATAATTCTTTAAAAATTATAGAGAATATTTCACTAAAATTTTCAGTTTCAGTTAGAACAGCTTTTTTTCTTACAGTCTAGGTTTCTGTTCAGATTCAGTACATTTTAATATTTTACTCCAGGGCAGAGAATAAAACTGATCCCGTACAACCCTCCTTTGCACCCTTTCAAAACTAAAGAAGAATTCTTAAAAGATAAGATTTCTTTATTTTTTTTTTATATAACCAAACATTTTACTCTTGCTCTGATTAAGAAAAACTCAGGTATGAAACATCGTTTGACTAATCGAGTTTAGGTATCTATTTATATTATTTATCTTAAATACAAAGGCAATGTTCTTATCTTTTTGTATATATATATATATAAGCACATACAAGTTACATTTTCTTTCTTTCACTCAGCTTTTGTACTTCGGTTACAAATTGGTTTTTTACTCTTCATTTCATCTATATTTTATCTTTTGTGAAAAATTATTATGGCATCACAAATGTGTGGACTCAAGGCTCCAAGCCATGTTTATGCAGGAACATTGAAAAATTCAAGTGATAATGATGTTACAGTTAATGTTGAATATGCTGGTTCGGATGCTAGTCATTGTGAAACAGTTCATTTAACGGTACCTAAAGGAGGTTCACACGCAATTGAAGAAAAATCTTTTCATGTTGGTGATAATGAACAACGTAAAGTTATCCAAAAATTAACTGTTAAATTACAAGATGGTACAACAAATGAATTATCAGCTCCATTCGCAGGTGTTACATCACCAAAAAAACATTGGCAATTTGAAGTTGATCAAGATGGTTCACTTAAATCAGTAGAATAATAAAATTCAAGCAAGGATATTTAATATAAAAATAAGTATTCCATCATTTAAAATACAAAAAAAAGATTTTATGCTCATTTATTTGACATTGAAAAATAAATAAATAAATAAATCTATATATATAATGTTCAGTGTGTGGGTGTGTCTGTCTGTGCCGGGTCAAAGATGAAAGATTTTAGAATTTTCACCATCAGGAATGCCTCCTCATAAACTTAAACTAAAGATCGGTGCAATTGTTATGCTTCTTCGCAGCCTCGATGTTCATCAAGGTCTATGCAATGGAATTCGACTGATTGTGCGACGTTTACTAAATCACATGATTGATTGTGAAGTTGCAACTGGATCTAACAAAGGAAGTCGAGTTCTAATACCAAGAATTACTTTGACACCGTCTGATCCAATTTTGCCCTTTAAATTACGAAGACATCAATTTCCTATTCGACTCTCATTTGCTATGACAATCAACAAATCACAAGGACAGACCTTTGATCGATTAGGATTGCTTCTACCACAACCAGTTTTCAGCCATGGACAACTATATGTTGCGTTTTCAAGAGTCCATTCTCTAGCCTCTGTCAAGGTACAAATCATCAAAGAACAAACAAAACAGTGAAAGACGTAAAACTAAAAACAATGTTTTCAAAGAAATTTTGTAAAGAACGGGGGCGCATAAAACTCATTTTTGAGCCATCATTAATTTTGATCAGTTCATGGTTTACTACATGCAAAATTTTGCGACGAATCGTTTGATGACAAAATAAAGCTGTTTTTCAAGAGTTTTGAAGAACTTTTGTCTCAAATACTGCTATTCACTTTTGTACCGTAAATACATGATTCACACACAAAAGGATCAGACTTGTATGTTTTTCCCAAATAAAATATTTCAAAGCGAAACTTATGTAAAATGACTGCCAATCTTATAGTCTATCTCTGGCAAAAATGTCAGCTCGAACGATCAAAGTATTGCTGAGTAATAGTATAAAACTCATTCGGAGTCGGCATAAAAATCATACAGTTCTCTTATCACTTACATGCACTTCTGCTCATTGTTTTCTCAATATCTCGAGAAAGGAAAAAAAATATGAGTTTTTGGTTGATTCTTATACCTCAAATGAAGGGCTACAAAATGAAATATTTTTCAATTTTTTTTAAAAGTGAACTTTTTTAAATAAGGCGATCTAACTTTTCTTGGCGCTTCATATTTTTGCATTTTTCACCAGTTTTCAATAGATTTTCATTGGAGAAAATCGAGTTTGAGTCAAAACTAATAACATATTTGCACTCAGCATGAAAATCTGAGCCAGCCTATATGTGTTTTAACTTTCTTTTACGAACTCTTTTTTTCTCGAAAATTTTACCTGCGTCCCCTCAAGAATCGGTCAGAAAATGAATTTAACCGAAACTCCATTTTTGTTGTTTATTTCTTTGTGCTTTTGTGCGATAGTAACTTTTCATAGGATCAAAGCTTGTTTTTCACTCATTAAATGATTTTCTACCAAAAAATTACTATCCGGCTGACCCCTGAGGGGACGCAGGTAAAATTTTCGAGAAAATAAGAGTTCGTAAAAGAAAGTTAAAACACATATAGGCTGGCTCAGATTTTCATGCTGAGTTCAAATATGTTATTAGTTT